CCCCCAGCACTGCCAAGACCACCACTAACCCATGTCCCCACGTGCTACATCCACACAGTGTTTGAACACTTCCAGAAGGTCCTGTATTGTGTTGTCCCTAGGCCACTAAAGGTGTCTCAGTAAAACAAGAGTAGCTCCAAGTACAGCTGGAAAATGCTGTTTATTGAATAGTTTATTCCTGACCTGAAATCTCTGGAAAAGAAACAAACCCACATCTTCTGGAGAAGAGGAGGCTCAGGGATATTTCTTGGTTGCAGGGAAGTCTCTAACAGCAAATTGCTTTAAGCAGGTAAATAAATTACAGCTCCTAGTTTTGCTTTGTAAATGTTATTGCCTATAGGATGTGTTGGAAGTGACTGATCACAGAAGTTTTCTGAATGCTGTGACACTAAATTTGGAGTGTCCTTTTTGCTGGTGAGTGGCTTTGAATGTCTGTGGCTGGCAGGGAAGCTGCAGCACTGCACTGGGAGAGAATTTTGTGTACTCGGTCTTCTTAGATCCCAGTCTTCAGATTGGCCTTCAGCTGCTATTAGCTAGGAAGACCTGTATTCATAAAACACTCTGGGAACCAAACTCCTATTTATTGCAGTTATTTTTTGTATTAATTTAGTGCAAATAATTAATGCAGATCAGAAATCCACAACCCAGAGCCACGATGCACCACCCCCTCACCATAAATTCTCTTTAAGAATAATAAACAGGCGAATAGTTTAATAAACTGAGTGGATTAATGCAATGAAGTGGGTTGGGAAGTCTTTGTGTAGGAGATGGGGTTTATTTCCAGGCTGGTTGAAGGGTGTGGGGTTTTTTTCCAGCACACGGCTGTCCTGGACTCCAGTGCCCTCAAAACTCGGGTGCAGCTCAGCAAGAAGCGGCGCCGCCGGAACCCCACGTCCCACTCGCTGAGGAGGAGCAGAGGACTGGAGTTTGAGAACAGATTTTCCTTGGTGGAAGAATCAGATAATGCTTGGATGTTCAAGGATTCCACAGGTATCCCTCAGCTACCTGAAATAATCAGCTGTGATCAGCTTGGGTGTAAGGCGGGAGTTTCTAAATGACATTTCTAAATCCTGCTCTTCATTTGCGCTTGAATGGAAGGAGAGATCTAGAACAAGGGATAGATGAAAAGCTGACTAATGGTTCCCCCCCCCTGCTTTTTTTTAAACAATTAATTAGAGGAGAAGAAAACTATGCAACAGGAAGATTCTGAGGAGGAAGAGAAGATCCAGCATACTCCGAGGTCGTCTGCGGTACAAGCCCAGAGACTCCCCGTGTTCCCAGGAATGGATCACTCTGTTCTCAAGGTGAGCGCAGGCAGAGCACATCAGGTGAGAGATAAAACAGTTCAGGAACTGCTGATGCTTTTATAAGGAATCCCTGCCCTGATTTTAGGCATGAATTTTTTTTTTTGTTTTAATAAATGAGTGATCTGGTTTGCATTAAAAAAAGCCTGAATGCTTGCTTAAAGGGATCCCTTTCTTTGGTTTTGTATTTAGGCCCAGCTCCGGAAAAGACAAGAGTCTGAGAGTGCTGGGGACACCGGTTCTGCTCAGCTCTTCAAATCCCCCAAAGCCCAGCTAGGGACTCCCGGGAGCAGAGTGCTGCCCTCCAGTGTGGAGAAGGAGGACAGGTGAGAGAATTCCAGCCCCAACGATGCTGATACTGGTGGAAGAAAAAAAAAATAATAATGCAAGAAATTGGATATTTCTTTTTTTGTTTCTATAATGAGTTTTCATAATGAAGGAATAAAGATTATTTTTTTATATCTTAGGTCAGAAGAAAAGTCTCCTCAGTGGTTGAAGGAGCTGAAATCAAAGAAGAGACAGAGCCATTACGAGAATCAGGTTTGAAAAGGTACCTGGGGCAGGAAGGGGGGCTTTGCTAAGTGTGGGTGTGCAGAGACAAAACCACACTTTCTTTAAGCACTGTGTCAGCACTAACTCTGAGACCTTTATCCTGCCACATCCACCAGGACTGTCAGTAGTTGTGTGTTAGGGCAGAGCAGGTGTTTCACTCCCAGGTGAAAGTGTCACTGGTTCTCTGCAGATAATTTAATTGTCACAACCCTTGCTCTGTTGGGGCTGTGATTTCCTGGTGCTTCCAGCAGGCAAGAACAAGTCTGGTGCTGGATAACTGAGGCTTGCACACAGTTTGAACACCTTATGTTGTTCCAGCAGAATTTCTGGCAGCTTTTGAGCTTTTAATACGTTAAATAGGACAATACCAAGGGGACACTACAACAGAAATACACATTTTGAGGGGTTTCCTATCGTGGTCCCTGGGAAAGGCTGACTGTCTGACCATGTCACACCATTACTTCAATTCCTTCTTTTTTTCTTTCCAGACAGTGATTCTAACTAGAAGAAGATAAAGAAGTTTAACAGAAGCCTTAACTCATCTGAACCTAAACCCCCATGTCATGTTGCTGCTGTTTGCTTCCTGCCTCAACTGCTCTGTGCATGGTGCCTTCCTGTTTTGTGGAGAAAGCTGCTTCAATTCATAGTCAAATACAAAGCTGTGTCTGTCAGGTCAGGGGGATGGTGTCACTTCAGACCTGCCTGCCAGGAGGCCCCATGGTTAGCACTTCAGAAAGTCTTGGAAAATGAAGATATTTGGGAGTGCTGTGATGCAGGGAACTCCCCTTGCTGTTGAACTGTGTAGGTGTTCAGCACTCAGAGCTGTGACCTCTGGTAGATATGTCTGGCTGGGCTTTGTGTTTGTTTATGAAAATAACAATTTTAATCAAATTTATCTTTTTTTTTTTTTTGTGAACAAATAGTAAGCTCCTATTTAGAATGAAGTTTGTGGAAGGTGAGAGTGGAAGAACAAATCATGTTTACTGCCATATTGAAAAAAGGAAACTTGATTATTTTTTGTAAAATGTATTTTTGATTGGCTTATATTTACATGTGATCTGCTGACCTGGCAGATGGAGATAATTTTTAGATGAACAAAATGTTAACTTTTGTCACTCTTGAAGTGGTATATTCTGTGTTTTGTCAGCATGTGGAATAATTGCTTCATTGGAATGTCTTTCCTAAAAAGGATCAAGCAATAATGTCAACCAGTTCTCTTTAAAAAAAAAAAAAGTAAAAATATGTAAATACTGTTTTTATAACAAAAAAGGAAGGGAAGAGGGAGGATGTTACACTCATATCAGGGTTCCAGTTAATTGCTGAATGTCACTTTAATAGCAGTTTGATTAGTCCCACTTCTTATTTTTATTTGTTAATCTGTAAATACCAGGTTTAAGTTTTTATTTTTATGCTGATTTTGTGAGATAACCTAAATGTGATCTTCAGTTTCTCAGATGATTTCCTGTCCTTCCTTTGGCAAGACCGATGTGCTGATAGCGGAGTAGGGCTCTCATGGACCACGCAGGTGTTTGGGAATCACTAATCCCCAGACATGTCTATATCTTTGATTCTGAAACACCAACACCATGGCCATGTAAGACATAACTGATTCTTGTCCCAGATAAGTGCTCTTTCAGTAAACCTTTAAAAATGAAGCCCAAGGAGGGAGGTGATTTGTCCTGTCGGATTCCTCAGGCTCGACCAGGAAAGCATGAAGAGGGAATGGAGAGTGGAGCGTTCTCCTCGCCTGCCAGAGCTGGAGCTGCTCCTTGGGTTGCACTTCCTATGTCCTGCTGAGGGGCTCCTCTAGATTCAAACCATAAAGCACCAGCACTTCCCCTCATTTTCCTTTCTCTTTTTTCTGATCAGTGTTTCAGGAGCTCGATTCCCATGGGGTTACCACAGTGGTGGCCTGCCTGCTCTGCTGTCTGTCAGGCTTGTAGCTGCCAAAACCATGTGCCAATTCTTCTCATGAAGGAGTCACAGAGGAGGTGATTTGCAGTCCCAGTCTACTCTAGGAAATAGCAGCAGGATGTCAGGAGACAAGTCCCATATGCCCATTTCTCGCTCCCAGATTTAACTCTGATGGCAGCTCCCGGTGTGGAGATGAGACGAAGACATTTATCTTATGTAAAAGTCTTTCCTTGCTGCTCTGCCCTATTTGTCATGGGAGCTGTTGCCACTGTTAGTTTTGCAGCCCCTCTTCTCCCCATGGAGCAGGGATCCCCCAGGATCTTTGGCGTTGGGAGATGGGCCCTGTTGAGCACAGCCACCACCATCAACCAGCTCCTCTCAGCTCATATTAAAACGTTGCACAGATTTTCTTCTCTCTCCTTTAGATGATGGTGGAAAAGGCAACTCTTTTTCTTTCGGGATACATTTTTTATGGCAGCACCCAAGGGTTCCATCGCTGTGTCCCACGTGTGACACACATCTGGGCCAGCCTGAGCAGCCTGTGCAGGTGTGAGGAGGGTGGCAATGGCTCTGCTCACTCAGATGACGTGGGGCCTGTTTTAACCCCACTAATCAGGTAATTCCCTGCTTACAGGAACACTTACACAGGCTGGATTTTCCACTTGAGCAGGTGACAGTGTTGTGTTCCCAACAGTTGGAGGATTTACTGGCTCTTGGTCTCATAACTGAAGGTCAGAAATTCTGTAACTGTTTGCTGTGTGTTGAGGAAACTGAGGGGATTAACACGAGGTTTCCACAAAGCCCTTGAATGTGTTTGCATTTCCACATCTGCTTGGACAATGCACTGAAACTTACTGTATTGAGTAGTTTAACCTACTACTGAGAAATGTTTAATGCTTAAATGTCTAATTAAAAAGCATCTTTAGAATGTTGTTGAATGGGACAGTGTTTTTTCTGCTCTATTATTTCTTTATATTGTACATGGATTAAATATCTACTTCCTTCTCTCCGGGCTATCACTCTGTAATAAAAGATATATAAATATGTTATTACTTCTTAAATGATAGAACAGACTGTAATACAGTTTATATAATTCTATTTTAATTCCAGATAATGTTTGTTGGAATTTTTTACGCTTTAACTTCTGTTGCCACGTGCTTTTTTCTGCTGTTTGGTGGAGATGGAAGACATCCAAGACTTTCTCTGAAGTGACCTGACAGGAATTACCCCCCCACACCACCCCCTTTTCTCTCGCACAAAAGTTTGTTTCACCCTGGAATTTGTTTATTGGTAAACTAAAATGCACCATGGCACAGATTTGGGAATTCAAAGTGGTGCCTGTAAAAGGTTTGTTACCTCAGCCCTTGTGCAAACACTGGAATGTGCTGCCTGTCTCAGGTGTTACACCCGGCATATGGTTGGATGTGCAGGTGGCCCAGGGAGAGCTGGAGCACAGAATGACTTAGAGGGATCAGGGCACTTCCAAGGCAAATATCAGGTAAATAGTTCATATCCTTTGATTTAACTGTCCTTGCCCCAGTAACAGGCACTTCAGTCTCAGCTCCTTTTCCCCTTGTGATGGAAAAAGCTGGGGCTGGTGCTGCAGAGTTGGTGCCCTTTAACTGACCCTGTGGAGCTGGAGGAGCTGCCTGCCCATAACTCCATGGTCCAGCCCCAATATACCCCAGGAGTGGTCAGTGCATCCTGGAGGGAGCAGGATTGCCAGCACAGGCTGGGCTGGGGCTGCTCTGTGGAAAATGAAGTCAGTGGGATGTGGTGGTGTGGGAGGTGTTGGTGTGTCCCACACGGGCTGTGGTGCAGGGGATTCATTTTCACAGTAGGTACCTGACTTGGAACAGTAAATGGCTGATTTCTGCAGGGATGGAATGTTTTGCGGGGAAATGGGAAGTTCCAGGATGCTGCTGAAGGACGGGATGGGGATGAAGGGCCTCGCCATGAGCAGCATTAATGCTCAACACGACGGGACAGGTTTCCATTCCGGTTCAAATGCCTGGGCCAGGGCATTTGCTTTTCTGACAATTTCAGTAAAGGTTTCTCGTGTAGTTCTGGGTTTCAGGATGAGCCGTGATCGGAGCAGGCAGGAAACCCTGCAAGAGCTGTAAATGGTGCTGTGTGCAGCTGAATGCAGCATTCCTTGGGGAGTCATGGGATGGTTTCAGTTGGAAAGGACTTTTAAAGAGGAAATCAGCAGAGTGAAACACTCCCAGCTTGGTGCCTGGTGTGGAGGGGCTGTGTTCCCCCCAGTTACATTGTCCTGTGCCTGTAGAGGTGGATGAACCCCTGTACAAGGCAGTTGGCTCCCAAAACCACCTGTTACACACCCCAGGATGTGCCTTAAACCCTGCTGTGTGCCAACATGCTCCTGGGAAATGGGCCGGGGAGGGAGCGGGACTGGGAGCCAAAGAACGAACGGGCTCAATGGAGAGAACCTTCCTGGTAAGGGCCAAAGCTGAAGCAAGAACCCCGACCTGGAGATCCTGAGGTCTTTTCCTGCCCTGGAACCACCTGCCCCAGCTTCCCTCCAAGCTCCCAGAGCCGACCCCAACCCCACTCCATCTTGTGTTGGAGCCCAAACAAACGGTCAATATTTTGCCGGGTTTTTGCTTTGCGCTGCGCTCGGTTTCCAGGCTAAACCCTCCCGTGAAATGCTGATGGGAGAGTTTTCCAGAGAACCTGGCAAGAAGCAGCGTGAACGTGCTGATGTGAATTTCGACGTTAATCTTCTGTAAATCGAGTGGCCCATTTCCGAGGGACAGCCGGGAGAAATCTGAATGACGTTTCCATAGCCCGCGCTATTGAGATGAAATCTCATGGATGGAATTCCGTGGACGCAGCTGCTGTATCAGCGCTCGGATAATGTGCTGTTCTGTTCAGAAGCAACCCATAAATAGCGGGGCCGGCCGTGCCGCCGGCAGAGCGGAACCACACCGGAGAGGTACCAGCAGCACTGCTTGGACTGGAAGGGGCTTTATAACAGAACTAGAGTGTCTGAGTCGAGGTGTCACCGAGTGAAGGGTTGGCTCGTGCGTGGCGAGAAGTGATGCTGCAGGGTTTGATTAAGGACATTGATCGAACTCTTTTATTCATCTTTTAACCCCTCGCCAACCCTCGCGTAGCGAGGCCGGGGAGGCGCTTTCCAACGGGTTTCCTATTTGAGCAGGAGCTTTGTGGATGTTCCTGGAGAGCGAGGAGGGGGCTCTCTCCACCGTCCCCCCAGCCAAGGCAGCAGCAGCAGCTCCAGCTGCTGCGTCCAGTGCCCCCTGGGATACTGGAGCAAGGGAGAGGTGTCAGGTTTATGTTAGTGGGAAAAGATGTCAGCAGCTGGAAGCTGAAATCTGGCAAATTCCTGCTGGAAACAAAGGCCAAGCTGTGAGACAGGAGTTTAGTGACAACTGGGTGAGCTGCCCAGAGCAGAGGGATCCGTGTCCCTTGGGAGATAGCTCAGGTCGGTCCTGCAGATGAACTGGGTGAGGATGTGGGGCCCATGTGCAGGAGGGGGAGGAGGATGGATCACGGAGCTTCCTCCTAGCCCAGACATCCGTGGGGATTTACAGCTGCTGCACTCGGGATCTGTGTTAGCTGTTCTGCCTCTTCCTAGGCCAGCTTCATCCTTTGTGTTTTATGAAGGACTTCAGAGCCCGTTAACCTCCTGCAATTTGGGTTTTCCAGGCATAATGACTGAGCAGCAAAGTCCCCCCGAGCAGATGGCGACTGGGGAGGGAGCTGGCGAGCGAGGTGGCATCTACAAGGTATACTGGGGGCAACTGGTTCCAGACGGACGTTGGGGGATGCTGTGGGTCCCCGTGGGATGCATGTGTGTGAGCCAGGCTGGAACCAGCACTGCAGGCTGCACTGGGGATGTGAGCAGCCTCCAGCTCTCCTGCAGCAGCGCGTGGGTGTCACCGCTCGGGTGCTGAGTGGAGCCACAGGCTGGGGAGGGAGACTGGGGCCGAGGATTTGCTGCTGCCTGGCAGGAGGGATGCTGTCCCTGCCTGTGTGGCTGCCAAGGACGTTCTCCTGCCAGTCTGGTGTGCAGCTGCCCAGTGATTTAATCCAGGAGACAAAGCATCCCGTCACACTGGGACCAGCTGTGGGTCTGGGCAGTGAAGCTCTGGCTGTGTGTTTAGGTTTGAATTAAGCTCGTAGGTTGGTTGGAGGTAAATCAACTGTGGGAGAGCGGTGGCTGCAGCCCTTCCCGCAGCTCAGGACACCAGGCAAAGCTGTTCCTGGCTGGGAAGGCTGGAGGTGGGAGCAGATCCTGCAAGTGGGGTAAAGAAGTGCTGGGATCTTGGGCTGCTTATTGCTTTGGAGTGCACAGAAGTTCCTGAGGAACACGGGTGTCACCTCTGTCCCTTGAACCCCCCATACGTGGTGTCTGCAGGAGGCTCTGCCCTTGTCCTGGGCTCAGGGATTGCAGCTGGGACCCCTTTGGGGCAGGGCCCAGAGGGTGTGCCCCTGGACCTTCCTGGTCCCCAGATTGTGCTGGGCACCCTGGGCCCTGCTCCCTGCTGTGCTCCTGCTCCTGGCACTGCCTCCAACCCGTCGTGCAGCTCAGCCTCGAGGCTCTGCCAGGAACAGAAGGACCCGGGGAGGTGTTGGGGTCTCTGTACCTGACAGGTTTAGAAGGAAACACTAAATAATGAACTTGGTCCAGGCCAGGCCAGAGGAATGGTTGGTTTTGGAGGAGCAGAGATAAGAAAAGGATGGGCCATGAGCAGGCTGAGGGCAGAAGACACCATCCCACAGCTCTGGGGGTCTCAGCCCAAACCCTCTGTGTTTCCAGTGCTGCGTTCAAGCTGGTCACTTGTTTTCAGTTTGTCATGGAGGAAATTCAAGCAAACACCCTCGGCCAGAGTATAGGCCCAGAGCCATGTCAGGGCAGAGGCACGTGACAGGACCTGTCTCTGCCGTGGGCGAGGAGTGACATCGGCATAGGGCAGCCGGGACAGAGGGACATGGCCACTTTGCTCCCCTGCTGCTCCCATTTCCAGGGGATCCCTGCAGTGGGGCAGGGTGTTCCCTCCACTGCATGGCTGTGGCAGTGACTGACAGTGTCTCTCCCCACCTTAGATCACAATCTACGAGCTGGAGAATTTCCAGGGGAAGAAGTGTGAGCTGACAGAGGAGCTCCCCAACATCACCGAGAAAGAGATGGAGAAGGTGGGCTCCATCCAGGTGGAGTCTGGCCCGTAAGTCCAGGGTGGGGAGGATGGATCAGCTCCAGGGGAGGTGGGGCAGGGGGAGCATCCCCCCCTCACACTGGGGTCCCGCAGGTGGCTGGGCTTCGAGCGACAAGGCTACGCTGGGGAGCAGTTTGTACTGGAGAAGGGCGACTACCCACGCTGGGACTCCTGGTCCAACAGCCACCTCAGCGACAGCCTGATGTCCCTCCGCCCCATCCAGATCGTGAGTGGGGCTGTCTTGGGGTGGCTGTGCCCCCCAGGATGGCCACAGCACTGGGGACCACCAGGCTGGGAGGGTCCTGAGGGCCTGGGGGCAGCCCCTGACTGGTGTTTTCCCCCAGGACAGCGCCGACCACAAGATCCACCTCTTTGAGAATGCAGGCTACACCGGGAGGAAGATGGAGATCGTGGATGACGACGTTCCCAGCCTTTGGGCCCACGGCTTCCAGGACCGCGTGGCCAGTGTCAAGGCCCTGAATGGAACGTAAGGACGGGGGGCACTGGGTGCACATGGGGACACCCCAACAGGGTCCTGTCCAGTGGCACCATGGTTGGTCCTCCCAGGGTGGTGGCAGGGAGGCCTGGCACTGCCACTGCGCTTCCCATGGTGCTGCTTGTGTCCATCATGTCCCTTGTTCCCTCCCCCCTCACCTTTTCCCCGGCCCACAGGAAGTAATGGGGGCCGGGGTGGTGTCCCTGGGGCTGTGTGATGGCTCCTTGCCCTAACCCCCTGCCAGAACAATGGAGCTATGGCTCCTTCTCCGCCCTGGGCTCTCCATCCACTCCCAGCACATGGCATTTCCCACCTGGGCTCTGTGGCTGCAGCCTGTGCAGTGACATTTAGTGACAGGGCAGTGGCCCTGGGCAGCATCACCTGGCTGCGGCAGGCAGCGGCACCAGCACTGCCTCGGCCTCTGGAGTGGGATGGGGACAGGGACAGTGCCCCCTGTTCCGAGGGGATGTACCTGCTGGGCAGGGGGTGCAGCAGGGCAGGGGGCCCAGCTGAGCACTGCCTCCATCCCTGCAGGTGGGTGGGCTACGAGTACCCCGGGTACCGGGGCCGCCAGCACGTCTTCGAGAAGGGCGAGTACCGGCACTGGAACGAGTGGGACGCCAACCAGCCCCTCATCCAGTCCGTGCGGCGCGTGCGGGACCAGCAGTGGCACCAGCGGGGCTCCTTCGAGAACAGCTGAGGGACCCTGTGCCCCTGCCGGGGCCGGCTCACGGGGTGCCCCGGCTGATGCCGTGACCGTGGTGTTTTTTGTGCAAAAACCTCAATAAAACTCTGAGCTGGAGGCTGCCGGGGCCTGCCTGGTCCTGGGTGGGGTGGGGGGGATGGAGCGGGATGACGGGGCAGGGGGGTGGGATGGGGAGGGGGCCATGGCTGTGCCCCAACACCCCCCAGGCAGAGCAGAGGGGGAGTGTGTTTGCAGTGTTACATAAAGGCTGCAGCTTTCCAAAAATAACCCCCGGTGGTGCCGCGTCAGGGTTTTTCCAATGCCTCTGTCCCTTTCCACAGCATCTCCTGCCTGCTCCCAGGGCAGGCAGCCAGTCCCCGTGGCAGGGAGGGGCAGGGGGGATGTAGGGAGCAGGGGGATGTGCAGAACAGCCACCCCCTGGCAGAGCCAGGCCTGTGCACCCCAAAGGGGACTCACTAAGTGGGGGGGGCTGTGCCCAACCCTAGAGTCCTGCAGGGTCCCCAGCCTGTCCCCAAGGAAGGTTCTGACAGCACCAGGGGTTGTTTCTCCGGGGGGATGAACTCTGACGTGGGGGCTCAGCTGTTCTGGTGGCGAAGGTGGGGGCCTGGGGGGGGGGCCCCAAGGTGTTGGTGAGGTGCTGGGCAGCCCAGCCCTGAGCTGCCTTCGCCCCCCAGGCAGAGCCCTTCCATGGGGACAATGCAGCCACACTCAGGAGCCCCAAGGCTGGGGGCAGAGAGGGGAGATGGGCTCGAGGCCACCTGAGCTCTTCGTGCTGGTCCCCGAGCAGCTGCTCCAGAGCCTTTCTCTTTAGTTTCGGGTTGGCAGCTGTGGAAGGTGAGTGTGTGGCCCTGAGAGGCAAAAGCTGCTTCCAGAACAGTCTGTGGAGCTGCCCGGCCCAGAGGGCTGCAGCACACTGCCCGGGGCTGGGATGAGCTAAACTGTCCCAGCAGAGCCAAGGGAGGGAATCGCTGCCTGGAGTCACAGGAGCCGTGCTGAGCACCGTGTCAGCCCCTGCTGGGGTGGTGAGGGGCCAGGATGTGCCGATGGTGGCTGGGGGGCAAAGATGCCCTGCACTGGGACCTGGGGCAGGCTCACAGGGGTCCTGGCTGGGGACCCCAATGGATTAGCCCAGAAGAGGAGGAGGGCAGTGCTGGGTGCCTCTGTGGTGCCACAGTGGGAGGCACAGGAAAGGGAGAAGGACTTGGCAGGGCTGGAAGTGCTGGAGGCTCTTGCTCAGCCCCCCAGCCTGCCCAGACCTCTCCATGGTGTGGTGGGTTTCTTGCAGAGCCACATGGTCACCTGTGACCCCATATCCTACTGAGACCCCATAGCCCACAGCTGGGACCGACCCCCCCCCCACATGTCACTGCAGGCTCTGGTGACAACACCCTGCAGGGTGACCCTCTGTGGAGCCATCCTGGGGGCAGGGGAGGGGGCAGGGATGATCCTGAAGGGATCCTGCGGGGACCAAGTGTGGAGGAGGGAATGGGTCTGGAATCTGTTAACGCTGTGTGACACTTGCTGGGTTTACACGGGGGGATCTAACTCCTCTGGGGGATGAGAGGGGGCTGTGGGTGCTGCACAGCACCCAGGGAGTCTGACAGCTGGGGTATCTCCCGTACAGTGAAACCCCTTTGCTGCAGCCACCGTCAGCCCCCAGCCCCGAGGGGCCTCCCGGGTCGGCCGGTATCGGGGTGCCAGAGGAGGGGTTTCACTGCTGCCCTCGACCCCTCAGCTCAGCCTCGGCTCTGCCACCCACCCTGGGCACAGCCTGGGCATGGGGATGTGTCCCAGGCTGAGCCCCTCGCTGACCTTGGCTTTGTTCTGATGTGAGAGAGGGGCCTCCGTGCTGCTGCTCCCACTGCCCCGTGGGGCTGGGGTGTTTCCCGGGGACCCCAAGAGGGTGGGAGATAAGAGAGGAGGAGTCCCCACACTCGGGCTGAGGGTGCTGTCTGGGCATCGTGCCACCAGGGCCAGCTCCTGCCCCTGCCCACCCCCGAAGGGTCGGTGTCGGGAAGGGGCTCCCGCGGTGCCCCCAGCCCCACCGGGTCCCTCTGCGCTGGCACCGGCGCTGGCACGGCCGCTCCCCTCCCGGGGCCGCAGACGGGCAAAGCCAGACGTTCACCAGGGCTTTGAGGCGCGTTTTATCGCGCATGGAAAGAGCCGAGCTCAGCAGGTTGAGCGGCCCCGGCGGCGGGGCGGCTGTCGGGGGATCAAGTCTCTGGCCCCGGAGCGCCTGGAGCGGGGCTGGCGGGCGCTTTGTTGGCCAGGGCCGCCCCGGCTCTTGGCACGCGTTCGGCTGATGCATGCAAACTCCAAATCTCCTCGCCACCAACCCGACAAAGCGGGTGACTCGAATGTGACAGGTAATGAAATAACTCGGGCTTGGTGCTCGGGCAGACAAAGGCTGCGGCGGATCAGCTGACCCTGGTTTTCATTGGGGTTTAATCCAGCATTCTCGCTTTGAATCAGGCTTTAACTATTTTGTAAATAGTTTTGGCACCACTCTGCTGCAGCTCGGTATAAATTCCACCTCCCGGCCCCAGCCCGTCACTGGCTCAAGCGGGTACTGGTATAACTGGTAAGACTTTGCTATTTATTGTCCTCTCTTTTGCCGTGGCCTCCTCCCGACTCCCGGGGCCGGGGTCCCTTCCCGGTGCCCGCGGGGTGCAGGCACGCAGGGGCTGAGCCGGGGGACAGTCCCGTCCCTGCAGCCCAAAGCAGGATATCAGGAGGTCACCACCCAGCCGCGGCTCCGTTTCTTTTTGTCGGGAGTGAGCCGTTTTCACCAGTTCTGGAGCTGCTCAGATCCTGAATGTCCCGTTGGGCTTGAGGACAAGGGTCCTTCTAAAGGATGACAGTGCCAAGCAGAGCCAGGAGGGCTCAGCAAAGGGTCCTGCAGACCTGGGCCAGGTTTGGTGTAGGGAGCCCCAGTGCTTGTCCCCATCACCCCTTCAGGCACCCGTGTGGGACAGGGGCTCTCAGCTGGTCACTGGGCAGGGACAGCGGGAAAAGCCTCAACTGCAGGAGCTGGGCTCTTCTGGGAATGACTTGGGAATGCCGTGGGCTCACAGTTCCCTGCACTCCTCTGGGCTGGAGACCTTGGGCAACTCCCAAGGACTATTGCCTGAGCTCTGCCATGAGCCTGGGGAGGTTTGGGGTTCTGAGCATCCCTAAGCAGGGACTGTCCCTGGCAACCCCAGCCTGAGCCCATCCTGCCATGAGCCCTGGCCCCAACACCCCTCCTCCCTGGGCAAACTGCAGGGCACGGACATGGGGCTCTGAGCACAGTTCCTGGTGCCTCCCCAGTGACAGATTTTAACCTGCAGAGTTTCCCTCCCAAGGCAGCAGACAACCCAGCTGATGATGGCTTCCGAGCACCAAATGCCAGCCTCCAAGCAGCAGCAAGCCAGCTCCAAGGTCAGTGTGAGACTTCCCGGCCCCCTCACTGGGGGTCCAAACCATCCCCTGGAACACCCCTGGAAGCAGCTGAGCAGCCACGATATGCCCCTCACCAGCACCCCCAGCACTCCTGGCTGGTGCAAAGTGTGTCTGGCTGAGGTGCTGAGCTGTTTGCAGTGGGACTAGGGGATGGGGAATGGGATTTTTCTGTCATCTCACAGCCCCAGTGCAGGTGGAGTGAGTGGGAATGGATCAACTGTTGATCCCCCCCCGCAGATGCAGCAGATCTGCCCCCTGCCCGCTGCTCCCTGAGATCTGTGCTGAGCTGGCGGCGCTGGGGCTGCCCTTGAGCCATCCCAGTGTGTTCCGGGTGTCTGGCTCGCTCTGTCCCTCCACTAGCCATGGTTCTCCAGCCACAGCCTGGATCCCTCAGTGTGACCATGGGCATCCCTCTGCCACAGGCACCGGGGCACTGGGATGGTGCCAGCAGGGACTCGTGGACGTTCAGGAGTGAGAGCTGCATCCTCAGAAGGATGGGAGCGTGTGCTTGTGCTTGCAGGCTCCTTAAAAGCCTCTGGAATGCAGTTTGGGGGGGCAGTATGATGTCTGGGCTGCAGCAAACGTGCTGACCTGGTGGCCTGAGAAAGTGTGTGCCCCCTGCAGCGGTGGCAGGGGTGGGGGTGACCCCTTCTCTGAGGTGCTGCTTTCTTCCAGATTGCCATCTTCGAGCAGGAGAACTTCCAGGGCCGCTGCCATGAGCTCAGCGGGGCCTGCCCCAACCTGAAGGAAGCCGGCGTGGACAAAGTGGGCTCCATCCTGGTGCACTCCGGACCGTACGTGTGGGGGGCTGGGGACCACGGGGGGATGTGGGAGGGAGGCAGGGGCTGGGGGAGGAGGGATCTCCCTGCTGCTGGCACCTGTGTCGTACCCAGGGTTTCATGTGGCAAACATCACTGAGCTGCTCACCCAGCTCACCCCAGTGGGTACCCAGTGCCAGTAGGTGAGCAGGGGGTGACAGTGGGTGACAGAGTCCCCTGGACAGGCTGGTATCCCCCAACCCTGTTCAGTGGCAGGGGGACCAGATAAGTGTGGGCATGGGCACAGATCGTGATGTTACTCCCAGCTTGGTTTCCTTTCCTTCGCGTACAGGGACAGGCGAGACTGGCACACCCTCGGTGCCCTCTCCCCACCTGCTAAACCTGCATGTGCTCCCCAGGCCATGGGCTTTGGGCAAGGGGGAACCCCTGGAAAGCACCTGGGGGGTTCCCTGCCTGTGCCCTGCAGCCGGCAGCACTGCTCCCAGGTACAACAGGGCAGCTGCAGAGCACCCTGGTAGGAGCCCAGCCCCATCTGGAACACGTGGGTGATCCCGTTCTTCTGTGGGTCCCCAGGGACCATGGATGTGTGGCCACCACATCAGAGCATCCACTCTGGAAAGTCCTGTAGTTCCGCTGCCAGCAGAGACATGTGGGATGGCTGGAGACATCACAGCCCTGCCTGCTCCCCCCTGGCACCTCCCGGGCACCGCGGTGCTCCTTTCCGTTTCCAACAGGGATCAGGGGACGTGGCTGGGGGCTCAGCCCCGGGGCGCTCGCCAGGGTCTGTGCCAGGCGCCGGTCCCCGCCCCGCTGCCCCATCTGAAGCGCGTCCCCTGCTCTCTTCCAGCTGGGTGGGCTACGAGCAGGCAAGCTG